CAGATCCGGCTGGAGACGAATAGAGGAGCGATGTCTCGGTTCCTGAGACCATCGGAAATATGGTCTTAGGCGACCTCTGTGATAGGGTCGTTCGACCCCCAGGTTGAAAACCACTGTAGAGTCTGATGTAAGGACGAATTTGTCTGAATGGAAGTAGTGATCCATTCCCTGACTTTTAGGGAGGCAGAAGCATGAGTGCTGAGCAGAAGGGAAGTCTGTCTGTGAGGTTCTGACAGGCTGTGCAACTCTACCGTCAAAGGACTTGGTCTGACCTATTGCAATGAATTGTACGTGCCGTGCAGCCAGTTTATTTTCAAAGATGTGTAGTGCCGTAAAGGGGCTAATTCCCACAAATGTCCCCAACCACATGGTAGGCACTAAAAATAGTCATTGAAGAAATGGATGATGTACTATCTCATGGAATTTTACATTGGTCCTGCTTTTAAAATTGAGCCTTTCTTAATTTGTATTATGATTTCCCCCCTAAACCTGAGTGTCCCTTTCCTAACTTCCAAAGCCTTTCCAGAGAGTGGGGGTGAGGTGATTGGAAGCAGGGGCCATCAGAGCAACTCCCTCTTTCCCTTCTTTGGTCAGTCTTCAGCTTCGTGTGTTTTTCTTTTTTCAGCCTGAGGTGCCCATGCATCTTTGTTTGTGGTGGATTGTATGCAATTACTTCCCCCCACCCTTTTCTACCAGATTCACAAATTGTTTCAAGTTTTAGGGGGGAAAACAGATTAGTCCAATTTCTCCTGGTGCCCCTCAGACCTATGAATACAATGAGGTCACTTTGTTGTAAGGTTTAACTTTATATTACACTCTTGCAGAGTAGATGTATGTCCCTAAGGTACAGCTACCCCCATCAATGAAATAAATATACCATTCTTTATGGTTCCTCCCCGTTACCCTCTCTGTTGATTTTCAGAGAGTTTATGAATAGTCATATATTTATACAACTGGCCAAAAGTATACTACTTATTTTTCTTATGGTCTCTCATAACCTATGCAAGGTTATTAAAGGGTATACAGACCCCTTTTAAGGCTTAGTTTCTTATGTCATTACTTTATACAAGCAGGTCAAATTCCATCTCGGCAGCAATCTCTTGCTCTTAACCTTTTCTCTGATTTTAAAAGGAATATATATTCCTTGTGGAAAGTTTGTAGAATGTACAGTGCACAGAGGAGGAAGAAAAGCACTGTAGGGCCCACGACTTAGAAATAACCACTCTTAGGCAACTTATGCACAGCCACATTTTCTTGATTCTCTGTGTGTTCATCAAGGAGGAAACTAGAATTATGCGGCATGTGCTGGTGTTAGGTGCCACTCAATTGATTTCAACTCATAGGGACCAAATATCTACTTAAGACTAGAACATGGCCTGGTGCTATCCATCCTCACAATTGTGATGTCTAGCCCACTCCCTCTTGTGGAAGGTCTTCCTCTTTTTCCTTTTACTGATTTTACCAAGCATGGTGTCCTTTTACAGGGCTTGATCCCTCCTGAGAACATGTTCAAGCTCAGAGGGAGTCTCGCCATTCTCTTCCAAGGAGCTTTTGGGGCTAAACTTTTAAGATAGGTCTGTTTACTTTCTTGGCAGCCCACGGTATTTTCAGCGCCTTCACCAACACCACCATTCAAAGGCACCAAGTGCTCTGCAGGCTCTCTTACTCACTGACCGGTTTTCACAAGCATGCGAGGTGATTAAAAATGCCATGGCTGGGGGCAGGTGCCCCTCAGTCCTCAGAGTGACATCTTTTCCTTTTTAAAACGCTAAAATGGACTTTTGGAACACATTTGCCCAATGCAGTGTATGGTTTGATTTATGAACTGTCCATGAAATTTTGACTTCAAGATTTTCTCCGTTTTATCATGTTGCTTCTTGGTCCAGTTGTAATGGCATTTTAAAGAAGACAAAAACATTGTACATATGCTCCTGTAATTTGATCTTCTTTTTTTTTAAATTCTAGTAAAACCTTGTATGTCAATAAGAAAAAAAAATTATGACATTATTTTTTTAAGATTCCATCATATCCCAGTCCTTGGGCCTGACTAAATTTAGGTCCACTTTCCACTTATGGTGTTTTCAAAGGTTTGGGATTTGGTTTTAGTTTTTAAATCACAATCTTTAAAATATGGGACCTGACTTTCTGAATATGGCTTACTTTTTCTCTCCATCAATGCAGTCACTGGTGAAATCTTCAAAACTCCATAGAAATCATCAAATTTCTTTGAATTTAAGGCAGTGGTGTTGGCTTGGTATATCTTTAGTGTTGCCCTTGTCTATTTTTATCTAGATAATTCCGTGGTAAATTTCAGTACCTACACTGAGGGCATGTTAATATATTTTAAAACATGATTATGGAGCAAATAAAAGCATGGGAAATAACCTAAAACCCTGTCTCTTCCTATCTGAACTCTTTCCTCTGTCACATAGTAAGCTTCCCTAGAGTAGAAGCTTATGTTCCTCTTAATAATGACTTTAAAGTGTCTAATTCAGTATCTCTTTGTATCAGTGGAATGACTTCTATGTGAAGGCTCTTTAGACTTCCCAGCTATGAGGTCCATATGCTACTTGCACTGACTCTTTTAATTGCTGATATTGTGTCGGCCGATCTACTGTCAATTAACGTTGGCAATGCAGGCAGAGAAATACACCTATTGCTCTGATACATCAGCCAGTCATTCATTTTATAACCCTGTTTTTTAAAAATACAGTCTGAATTTATTATGCAAACAATTGAAGGGGTGGGCCAACAATCTGAGTTTTACTGGTGATTTAAATTTCAAAATAAAACCAAGAATTAGCATCTTCAGGATGCTGAATGATGCCGTCAGATATTAAAAGGATGCACTTCATTGTCTTAGGTTGTTATTTATGGTTGCACATTTTTGCTGGCAATTAACATTATGAGTGGGGAGGGACTATGATAAACAGCTTATAGCTGGGTGCTCCTTCTTGTCGCTCTCATGCGTTTCCTGATTAAACATCATGGGTTTTACGAGGAGCAGCGTCCCTGCAGGAAGGGCTCTGTGGCTTCTTCTCTGCCAGCCTAATTTAAGGGGGAAAATAAAAATTCTTCTCAAGGGTTTAGAAAGTAATTCATAAAATGGGAGAAATAATAAATATTATGCTTTAACCCATATACTAGTATAGATAGAGAGATTCAGTACACTTGGGTGTAATTTTAGTTAATTTCCACAAGAGACAGGTTGAAAGTTTACTGTTTAGGGGAGGGGGTGGCTAAATCTCCTATTTGCAACAATGATTATACATTATCTTAAATGAAAATGCTACTCTATTAACAACTGCAATCAGCATTGCATTTGGGGAAAATCTTTTTAATATAAAGTTACCTGAAGTTCACTCTAACTTAAAATACACAAGTGAGGAAAAAGTACTTACTCTGTGTCTTTTGGAGGTGTAATTATGTAAAACAATGTACTTTTGTAAATGGATTTCTGGCCACTTTATGCAGCCTATTTTTTTCCCCTTCTTCCTTTTTTTCCCTTCCTTACATAAAAAGTAAGCACTGTCAATCAAGGAATTTTAAGGTTTATTTCCTCTTTAGAAATGATTGATAGCCTTTTAGATTTACAAGTTGACAAGTTAAAGGGTTCTATTGGTATAATTATGTACTAAATTCACAGTCTTTCAATTTAAATGTCCTTTTAAAACCACAAGATTATCATACCTGTATTTTGAAAAGTGGGCCAGTCAGTTTGGGTTGGTATACAAATTGCTTCCATTAGCCTTGGGACCTATTTGAATTTAATACAGTTTTTTAAAGTTCGTAGCAGTATGAATCTTACTTTTAAAATTTAGGTTAATGGAAATGCATTTTAAGTAAAGCATGTGGCAACTTGTTTTCTAATGTATAGATAAATGTCAGAATTACAAAGACAGTCTTTTTATTCAGTATGGGAGGAAATATGTCCTTGATTACTGGTTACACTAAAAAGAAAAGAAGGGCGGGGGTGGGGGGCTGGGGAACCACCCACCCACTACTGGGAGCAAATGGGAAATAAGGACAGGGGGACAGTAGGCACTGAAAATACAAGAACAGTGTCCACTTTCTATTGTCTTTGGTTGACGGATGCAGTGAAGCAGGTCAAGTCTATGTGGGCACCCCAAGTCCATCGTCTCCCAGTAGTCCTGATTTGCTCTTCTTTCGGTCTTTTTGGGAAATGCTTTGGGAGGTCGCACTGCTTTGCAGAGGCTGGTCCTTTTCCTTGAAGTCATGGTGCTGTCGATGCAGCAGTCATTTGGGTTGTAAGGGTTTTGCATGAAGGATGTTTTTAACATCGAGGTCTTCATCAAGGGAGAAATAGGTTTTCCTCACTAGAAGACCCATTCTTGCTGCCAACACTCCTCTGCCCCTCATCACGGTAGATTTTCTAGTAAGCAAAGACAAGCCTCGGCTTACTTGAATTGTGCACTACAGGTCAGTACTCGAGCACAAGTAAGCTTTGTGCTCCCCTTGCTTATTGGGTAAGCCATCCCTGCCTCTCACTATACTATTTTAGGCTTCATTGCCTGAGAAGGCATTGCAATATTGTCTCATGTGAGTTCCACAGGAGATTTTGCAATTACATAAATGCTTTGAATGCCCCTGCTATTTACATCCTGTAGCTAGCTACCCTGGATGAAGCCCTTGATCATGCTGACCCTACCTGACGATTATATTGATGCCAAAGTTCTCCCATCAAATTCCAACATACTTTATACTAGTAAGGATGCAGGCAATATAGGATCTTCCCAAAGGAGCTGAGTTCAAGCGGTACTACTGATGGTGCAAAGCCAAGTCACAACCTGCCTTAGTAAATGGCAGAAGTAAGTGGTGAAAATGTCCCATAAAGGGTTTTGTGTGAGCATTTTAGGATCGAATTCCTAAGTATCAGTTCAACTTTAGATGGCTTCAGTTATTTCTCCACCATCAGGGTTGCAAATTGTGTCTATGTTGTTTTTGAAAAATGTCCTAACTGTTTGACTTCTTCCTTGCAGCGCTTAATGAGCCCACCATTGATTATGGCTTCCAGAGGTTACAGAAGGTCATTCCCCGGCACCCTGGTGACCCTGAGCGTTTGCCAAAGGTCAGGATACTTCCTATTTTGGTTGTTGTCTCTGGAGTCTTGAGACTGGGTGATTGCAGAAATGCCAATAGTTAAATGATAAGCCACTCATATTTGTGTGCTTTGTTTGATACTATGACGTAAACAGTAAGAGGAGGTATTAGACAATGCTGTACTTCGTGTTCCATGTGTCACTCACGTCACCCTCCCAACATCCCTCTGAGGGATGTTGACTGCCACCGTTTTAGAGAAGGAAACCAAGTGGAGAGAGATTTGATCATTTGCCCACGGATGCACAGAGTGTAAATTGCACAGAGTGTAAAATTGAGAGCCAAACCTGTATCCTGGGTCTGCAGTCTGAGAGATTCATGACTACATACTACACCTCCCAAGACAAAAGAGCACGATGCTGCCTGTCTGCAGATCTGTTCTTACCCTTGGTGGTGGGCGAAAGCCGGAAGTCAAAAGAAAGCTCATGACTAGGAAAGAAAGCAGAACCTGGCTCTTCCAGATAGGATCCACCTAATTGGAAAATACAGTACAGATATGTGCAATTTGTTTTTAGAAATTCAGGGCAGAAAAAAATATACACAGACATACATATATAGCCTGTATATAGCGGTATTTGTGTGTGTGTGTATATATATATTCTTCTTCAATACCGATGTGGAAAGCAGACACTGACTTTCATAGACATCTACTCTGCCCCCATTATCCAGTTGGGCGTCTTGCCATCTTCATTACAGACGAGCGTGGGTCCTGTGTTGGAGTGATCATTATACATAATTGATCATAAAAGACAAAAACAAAAACAAAACAAAAACAAAAAAAAAGACAAAAACTAACAGGCCTGTTTAGCCAAAGTGTGACCAAAGCCATTCAAGGACTCAGAGGAGAGCAGAGGCAAATGCTGGAGAGATTCCAAGCACAGGGCCAAGTCAGTTGAGGACACTGAGGCAAGTTAGAACTCTTGTTCGTGGACAACAATTGAAACGTCATTTACCGAGCAGGAAAAAGTAGTGTAAAGCAAGTGGCTAGTTGAGAGGACCTTTGCCTGCCACTGTAAGACTAGGGCCATGCCACTTCTAGGTCTCTTGATCCTCATGCAGCACTTTCCAGCCCAGCCCACTTTCCAATCCTCCTGGGAGGATTTATACACCATCAAGCCCCACCTGTGAGCCGGCTGCATTTGTAGGCAGAGCAACCTGTCTTTGTCCAGACAGAGGCCACTCTGTCTGGAGTGTTGCTCCCTGCCAGGAGAGGAAACACGTGGCTCAGCAAGGCCATCAGTCCTCCACCTGGACCTCGGGAAGACCGCCCAGCCTTTGGTCTCCTCCTTCTGCTTCTCAGAAGAGCCTCCTGTTGACTAAGCACAGGCCATCTTGGTGAGACCTCGCTGGAAGCAGTTCATCTGAGGAAGGAATCGCATAGTATCGCAGTGTGTTCACCGCCTCATCGTTGAAAAGGGCCTATACCTGAGAGGCCCTGCTTCCTGTCCCCGCCTGCATTCTTCTCGGTGATGAATTAAATACTCTGATGATATAATGAGACAGTCTCCTTCCTTAGCAGGCGATAGTATGGAGGGACTTGACTTTATGCCTGTTCAGTAAAGACCCTAGATGCCCTGGTGGTGCAGTGGTTAAAGCAACCCTCATGATTGGTGGCTCGAGGCCACCGGTCACTATGTGGGAGAAAGATGGGTCAGTCTGCTTCCTTGTAAACTCTGTGGGACAGCTCTCCTTTTCCTGTAGGATCGCTCTGAGTTGGAACTGACTTGATGCCAATGGGTTTCATGAGACCCTTATGTTCCTGGGTGGCACAAATGATTAACATGATTGGTTGCTAACTGAAACATTGGAAGTTTGAATCCACCCAGAGGTACCTTAGAAGAAAGATCTGGTGATCTACTTCCAAAAAATCAGCTATTGGATCCTCTGTGGTGCACATTATACTTTGACACACATGGTGACACCATGAATCAGAGTCAGCTCCATGAAAACTGTTTAGTCAGTTAATTAATTAGTTACTAAGAATGTAGCACACAGGAATTTCCTACGCGACCAAGTGAAATCACTCATTTGATAGGGCAAAAATATAAGTGATTTTGTGTCTACCCAAATAATGAGCACCTTAGAGCCTTAGTAGTAAAGCAAAGGCAGGTGGTTAATGCTAGATCAGTGGTTCTCAACCTTTCTAATGCCGTGACCCTTTAATATAGTTCCTTATGTTGTGGTGACCCCCAACCATAAAATTTTCATTGCTACTTCATAACTGTGAATTTGCTACTATTATGAATCAGGCAACCCCTGTGAAAGAGTTGTTCGTCCCCCTCCAAAGAGGTCATGACCCACAGGTTGGGAAACCGCTGTACTAGATTCTTCCAATAGCTTCTCCACTGGCGCTGTCTTCACTGTACCATTAACCCTGCACACCTCCAGAGTCTTTGGGAGGAGTTGTGTACAGGGCTGGAGAATTTGATTAAGCCACGTGGGACTCTGAGCCCTGCCACTTCCTAGCTGTGCAACCCGGTTCAAAGTTATTTATCTCTGTGTGCCTCAATTTTCTTCTCTCTTGAATGGGGACAAGATCATTCCTACATCATCAGCTTGTTAATTTTATCCCTTATGTAGTGCTCAACAAAAGGACGCTATGACGGTTGGGTAATTGAGTGAGATGGGACTCTGGCTGCTGACAGTTCTTCCATCCAATACCTGCAGAGGACAAAATATTAAACTTTTGTCATCGAGTGTGTAGTTTGTATCCTCTGCCTCAGTTTCTTCATCTATAAAATGGGAACAATAGTAGTTTGTCTCTCATAGGGACAGTGTAAAGGTAAAAAGCAAGAATCTTCTGTGTGATGTTGGCACAACTCACAGCTTCCATCTATAAATATTACTGAAAAACAGAAGACAATCTGGCTTCATGGCTGAGATCTAAAAATCCAGCCAGTAGTTTCTTTAATTCGTAAGCAAAAGGAAAGAACTAGGAACGTAAGGTGGAGTGGTGGGTATTTATTTTCGAAAACATCGCTAAGGTTGCATGCCATGTTCAGAAACATCAGAAAATAGGAAAGACATGTGTCACTTTGTCCCTGGTCGCCTGGTGGTGAAATTCCCAGACCCTTTTCCTGGATTTGGGGCAAGTAATCAGGGACACAATGGGTTTGTGTGCTAAGGAAACACTCCACAGCCTGCATCTGAGCTGCTTGGCCATCCAAGGACTTTGTCAGGAGCCCACCCCAGGAAGCTCTAGTATGACTCAGCTCTGAGAGGTTGTCCTCTTGGCTCTGAACGTGAAGGTGGAGCAGGAGTTCAAGGGCAGGGTCAGGAAGTAGCGGATGGAGCCAGCACGAGGTATTCCTGTGGACTTGAGAGATTTATACTCCGGCTGTCCATTGTTGGGTGGATGAAAAGGGTCCGCCTTCCTGAGAGTCGTGGTCAGTGTTTGTCCAACAGGAGTGTTGCAGTGAGCCGTAGACCACACACCTTAAAAAACAAACCCCACTTTATTAAACCCATGTGTTTGTGAATAGACAACACTGGATTCATACAACCACCCACATATTCTGTCAAATGAAACTGCTCCAAAGACCAAGCAGACAGCTTTCCATAAGAATGCGCCTTTGTATCCTGCCTTGTGCTTTTTCAAAGAACTTGCCCGCAGCTTTGTTTTACTACAGCCCCGCTTCCCAGGCTTGCAGCTACACAGGGAAATAGGCATCAATCCCACTGGGAGATGGAAGCAAGCAGAATTCTTTTCCAGAAACTAGTCTGCCCCCAAGCCACCCTCAGTGAGACTCCCTCTCCACAGAGACACGAGATTTGGGTGAATCCCAGATTTTTGTTGTTGTTGTTGTTATTGCTCTTTCCTTTTCCATATGCACATTGGGAAGGGCAGGCCAAGATTTTAAAATCACAACATTCTGTTCTGTTTTATACAGACCTGCCACCTCTCAGGAGCCCTGCAGGAGGGAGGGGAACGTGTGACTGACTTTGGGGTGAAGGTTGAGTTCTCTTCTGACATAGACTTCTGGTCGGGGCTGGGAGTGGAGTCCAGTCCGTGCAAAACACAGATGCTGAGGAACATGGTGCAATCCATAAACCTTCTGGCAAGGGGCCTTTTGGTTCTGAAGGCCAGGGGCGTTTCCAGCCCCGTTCAGTTGGCCTCAAGACTGGTCGGTGAGGGCCGACCCAGAGCTTAGCGGGTGCTCTCTGTTAGCTGTGAATCTCAGAATGTGAGATGACATTGACTTCGTGCCCGCTGGGTGCCCCAACCGTGGTTTACAAAGATTGTCTTTCTTTTTAAAATTTTATTGTGGTAGTATTGACAAACCAAACATTTGGCATTTTAACTATTTGGGAATGTACGGTTCAAAGACATTAATTACATGCACTAGGTGCAGCATCATTTCCAAATAAAGTTCACCCCCCAAATGATGGACACACTGTACCCATTGAGCAGGAACTCCCCATGCCCCTCTCTCCTCAGTCTCCCCGCTGCCAACCACGAATCGACCATGCCTATTCCAGCTATTTTGTATAAATGCCATCATACAACATGTGCCCCATAGTGACTCACACTGAGCATGCAGCTTTCAAGGGTTACCTGTGTCGGTGGAAGTCCCATTGGATGGCCATGTCACCTTGAGTTCATCTACTCATCCCTTGATGGACACGGGTTGTTCCCACTTTTTTCGTCTAAGTTCCTGAATTCCACGGAGTCCAAGAGAATGGGCTCTCAGGTCAAACAGATGTGGAATTGGAAGGCCAACCGGCCCACTTGGTTCAAAAGAAAACCCCCAAACTCATGGCCGTCTAGTCAGGTGTGAGCCGTGGCAACCCCGTGTGTTACGTCAGGCCACTCCAGGAGGTTCTCTTGGCGGGCTCTTTCTCTCATGGTACTGCTGGGAGCAGGGTCAGGGTAGGGGATGGTTTGGAGTCACCAACCTTTAGCTTGGTGGTTAGTTAAGTGCAAACTGTTGGTGCCCATGACTTAGCTTAATTGAGCCATCTTTCCCTTTG